GGTATAAAATAATTTAATGGAAAAATATTTTATGGTTCCAATCAGAGCAAAAGGAGTGGGAGGGGCTCTTCAGCTAAATTCACTTCCTGTCCTGCTTATCTACACAGCCAAGAATTATCATGGTCAGACATGCTGATACAGTACTAGTACTACTGCTCAAAGTCAATGGATCAGGCCTGATTACTTAAGTGATACAGTCCTGATAGGCTATCAGGACTGTATCACTTAAGCAATCAGACCTGATTCATTGACTTTGAGCAGTACTACTGTATCAGCATGATAATTCTTGGCTGTGTATGCAATAAGCTGTGTCTCTGTTTACATACCAAAGGTGTTTAATTTCATGCTGCACAGCACATGCATATATTTAGCCAGTTGTATCACGTTATAGTTAGGAATAATTGTGCAATAAATGGGGGGGTATGTGTCACTATGTGAACAGGAAGCTGATCTGTCCCTATAGATATGAATATACTAAGTCACTGTTTGTGCTATATACTGGAGTGATTGTTTGTGCTGTTTTTAGTTCAATTCAATTGTGTGGAGTAATAATGGCTTCAGCTCTGCTATTAGGACTTATACTCTGCGCTGGGTTGACAAGTAAGCCATTGATGCCATTCAAACATTGTCAGGTAACATTATGATTGTTTAGGTGGTGATGTGACACACTTTCAATGTACTAATGGAAGTGTGTGTGCTGGAGACAGAGTGGAGTGTAACTGTACAACAAATACTGGAGCAATAGACTGGACCATCAGTTATGCAGTACTAGGATCCAGTAATCAGAGCTGGATACCTGTCACGGAAGTAAATTTGAATATAATTCATAATTCCACTAAAGAATATGGATACAACTTCACTTATAATAAGTTTAATGATAGCTCAATGCTCACTTTTTATCTAAATGCATCTGAAAGCATTTTTATTGTGTGCAAAAATGGAAATGTAAGTGATAATGAATCTACAATAATAAGGGATTCAGGTAAACAAGTTGTTGTGAAAATAAAAAGTGTATGTTTTGTAATAATAGGTTATTATGCAAAAGCTCCAACAAACTTAACAACAACCTTCAATGCAAATGGAGTTACTTTACAATGGGAGGACACTGGGAATAACTGTACTTCTACTGTGTATCAAGTGACTGTTAATGGTACTTCAAACAGTGTATTGACCTCCTATAATAATAGCAAAACAACTTTACTCATACATTCAAGTGAACTAAACACAACAGAAACCTATACATATACTGTTAGAGGGTGGAATGGACAGCAAAGTAACATCAGTAAACCATTCACACTTGGTAAGAATATAAGCTCAGTAACATGTACCTAATTTTGATTTGTAGCTCCTCATGAAGTGATGAATATTACAATAAATACAACTAATACTACTGATCCTTGTAAGAATAGTTGCTGTGCTAATGTTACACTGAATATAATACTGGTGAGATACAATGAATAATCCATACATGTATTTCAACAATTCATAGGAGTCACTAGACCCATATGTGAAGCATCCAAATCAGTACCACAACATATCATACAATTCCAATACTGGAAATATACCAGTAACATATGAAGTAACTGGTTATGATGAAACAGAATGGACTGGATCAGGATTAAAATACAATGAGACTTATTGCTTTACAGTCACACCAATGAATAATTTTAGCACAGGAATGCCAATAAGTATGTTGTGTGTGTAATAGTTTATATATTGAGTACTTTATATACCTATACAGGTAATGACACAACTACTCAATATTCATGTGAACCACCAGGAAATGGTGGGGATAATGGTGATGATAAACCAGGATGTAATACAGGATGCATTGTAGGATCGGTTATAGGAGGAGGAACTACTTTAATGATAGTCATAATAGCCATAATAGCCATAATAGCCATAATCAGAAGAGTCAGACCCCAGTGGCTGCATAGATTATGAGAATTGATAAACAACTTTTTTTGTTGTTAGAATAAAAGTTTAAAATATTATTATTATTGTTTTTTATAGTTTTTAATTAAATTAGTAAAAATAATTGGAGGGTGTCACAATAACTCATATGTGGTGTAATTGGGTGGATTGACACATAGACATCTATGCATGAATTGACAATAGAGAATTTAAAGTGGCTAAGCTCAGGAGCAGAGGAGCAAGAGTTATTCGAGTCATATAATAGGACTATTGTGTAGCAAAGTAACATGTGATTCTCTTATGAACATTGGATTCTTCATCAGTTATTGTAAATAGCAAATTAACTTAATTTTACTTCTCCCTTCTGCTCTTTTTTGCTCTTCTATGGAACTTGATTATTTTAAACTACCAGTTTTACAGCAAGTTACAGCAATTGTTTTATCCAGTTATGCTACTCAATACTGTTGCGTTACTATTAGGAGTGGAACTTATTCTACTCTACTCTGGATTGGGAGGTAAGCCATTAAGACTATTTAATGATAATAGATTTACACACTATTCATTTTACAGATGGTATTATCACTGACTTTCAATGTACTGATGGGCCAGTATTTACAAGGGATAGGGTAAAATGCAGGTGACCATCAGATACTGGTGCTCTAGACTGGTTCATATGTTATGGTCCAGTAGACCATCTAATGTGGAACCAAAGCCTAAGTGTTTCATTTAATAAAGCTACAGCAAATGAAGAATATCATTATGGTTATGATTTCACATTTAATACAACTTATACAGGTCTGAACACTTCAATACTGACCTTTAATCTTAATCACTCTGAGAGTGTATGCATTGAATGTATAGATTCCGATGATGGTGATAAAATGAACACAACAGTTACTGATTTAGGTTAGTGTATGCATGCAATAATTATTAGGCAATTGTATTTTGTTAAAGCTTATTACATGTAAAATTGGCAATACAGGGTACAATGAAACTGCAATAATCACATAAGAGTCATATAAATGTTTTGTTTTAGAAGTAAAAAGAATATGTTACCCTTTTCAATGTTTTGTACATCAATAATAGGTTATTATGCAAAAGCACCGACAAACTTAACAACAACCTTCAATGCAAGTGGAGTTACTTTAGCATGGAAGGACACTGGGAATAACTGTACTTCTACTGTGTATCAAGTGACTGTTAGTTGTTCATGTACATCAACCAGTGTATTGATGTATAATACTAGCAAAACAGCTATACATATAAACTCAAGCGACTTATTAGAAAATGTAACCTATACATACACTGTTAGAGGGTGGAATGAACAGGAAAGTAACATCAGTGAACCATTCACACTTGGTAAGAATATATGTATGAATAATATGTATCTAATTTTGATTTGTAGCTCCTGTTGAAGTGATGAGTGTTACAATAAACATAACTAATACTACTGATCCTTGTAAAAATAATATTTGCTGTGTCAATGCTACACTGAATATAATACTGGTGAGAGATTATTTTCTTAATTATAGTATGAATCATCAATTACTGTAGGAATCATTAGACACATGCTTTAAGCATCCAAATCAGTACTATAGCATATCATATAATCCCAGTACTGGACATATACCTGTATCATTTAAAATAAATGAAACAGAATTTGGAAAATCAAGACTAAAATTCAATGAGACCTATTGCTTAGTCACACCAACAAAGCCCATAAGTATGTTGTATGTGTA